CTTGGGCCAAAGTTCACCAGCTGCATCTCATCTGTGTCTCCCAGCACACAGCGACACCTATTCCCTCTCAAGAAGAAACTGAGGCACAAGCCTGGGGTTCATCATCAGGTGGACTTGAAAACAGGTCCGTCAGTGTCATAACCAAACCTCCCAGCTAAAGTGATACGACCTGTAGTCTCCCTTGGAGGGGTCTCTGAATTCTAGCCACCCGTGCTTCAAGATCAAAAGCATTCTGCCTCCTTGCAAAAAGACTGCAGTTGGCTCTGTGGAGGTGGAAACCAATCTCAGAAGCCTCGTCTGTAAATGGGCTTGAAGCAGCAAATGACTCTGGCAGAAGCAGCGGGTTTTAATTGACCATAAACTGGCTTCCAGTCCCAATTCTGTGTGTAGTCACTGTGAGGCCTCAGGAAATGTTCTGTGCTTCTCTTGGGCCGGACAAAGCATGGATGAGAACAACCATCTCAGAAACAGTGGCTGTGAGTCGGTCTGCACAGTCCCTGACTTAGATACTGCCCTCCAGAACGGTTCTAATGGAAGGCAACTGGCCACGCCACCTTCTGAACAAAGTATAAACAATCACACAGTGAATAAATAGACCTGATCACCGCCTGAGTGAGCATTCCCGGTCTAGAAAGAAGTATGGCACTCTGGTGCGCACAGGACCTGCAGGAGGCATCTCTCTGAAACACAGCCGAGGCCCATATATCTCCTTCCCCTCCCCTCCCGCATGCAGAGGACTTGAATCCCAGGCGATGTTCTCTCTCCTCCTCTCAGACTGTAGATAACCATCCTGCAGCCAGGCAATGCAAACAGAGGACGCCAGGGGGATTTCTTAGAGATAAAGAGGCTGAGATGCTGGCGGCCACTTGCTCAGCAAGGACACTTGTGGTGAAGGAGGGGAGACAGCAGTCAGTGACCTCTACGTTCACTATGTGACTGACTGAGACAGTGGAGCCACACTTCCTGTAACACCAATGCCACGAGGTTATTTATCAGCAGAGTCCACTGCTACACTGCGCCACTGGATTCCAGGGAGGAAATTTCAGCCTCAGAATTATGCATTTCACTGAACAAAACATATGCCAGGCCAAGATCCGATTTGTGATTTCCTCAGTTTCTAGTCCTGGGTGAACTCTCTGGCTTCCGCTCTTTCTTCCTGAGCCACAGCAAGTGGGAAGAGTCCAAGGAGCCCAAGACCTTCCACACACATGGTGTGAGTGTGGGGTGTCTGGGTCCAGGCTCACACTGCAGATGCATTCACCTGGGGCTGGCTGGTCCTGCCAGCTGGACTCCAGGGCCGGCAATGATGTGCTTTTCTGGGCATTATCAGAAAAGCAATTCTAGCAAGAAGGGGAAACCATCAAACAGAGCAGTGACAGGTCTGGGCTTCCCTCCCTCATCTCCGAAAGTGATCACCTTGTAAGGTGGGAAAGGCAACAACACAGCAAGCGCATCCTTACCCTGACTGCCAATGCCGATGCCCGGCTCTGAGAACCTGAGTCACCAGCCCAGGCCCATGGACCAAGGCCTCAAGGCCCACCCACTCCAAAGCAGCCGCTGTGCCAGCGAACAAACAGCTTACTCTTGGTCCACAGCTGGGGTCTGGCACAACGCTCGGTCTATGCAGACGATGACAGACGAGAATAAAAATATTCAGTTCTGCTTCCCGTGGCCACCACACACTGTCATCTCCACAGTCTCCACCAAAATGAGCTCAGTCCACCTTTGAAATATTCCGGAGCTTGAAGGTTTAAAGCAGGCCAAGCTGATTTTGTGGGCTTTTCCGAGCTTTGACACTGTAATTACGCACAGGACTCTGTGCCACTGAATTCCTCCCAACTGAAACATTTCACGTCTTTTTTAAGCATACACTGAGGTTAGGCTTTTGGATTTTTTTTAGTACATGCTATGAAATAAGATATACCCAGAGTATATACCCAGCCTTAAGTATATTTCTGCCAAAAGACGACCAGCTGGGGATATAGCTCAGTGGCACAGTACCAGGTTGTGAGTTCGATTCCTGGTACCAAAAAAAAAAAAAGAAAAAAAAAAGACTGGACCAACATGAATTAAGAACAACTATTTCTTTGTCCGAAGTTTAGTTAAGACTATTATGTACCCTCTAATAAACATGCATAAACCTACCTCAAGATCAGGTCAGCTGAAATGCTTTCTTACATGTTTAACAGTGTATTTCTCCTGGTTATAGATAGACATGTGCTCTTTAAAGACAATCGACAATCTGAGACCATCTCTGCTATGCTAGTGAATAAAGGACTAGATATGATATCTACAAGTACATAAATTCACTAAAATATGACCTTCACAGGCCACTTAACCTCATATATCTCAGTTTTCTCACTTTTAAAGTAAGACTCAAGCCAGGCTTGATGGTACATGCTGTAAGCCCAGTCCTTGGGAGGCTGAGGCAGGAGAATCACTGTGAGTTTGGGACCAGCCTAGGATATACATGCGAATGTACAAGGCCAGCCTAAACTATACAGTGGAACCTTGTTGAAAAAAAGAAAGCAAGAAAGAGGGAAGGAAGGAAAGAAGGAAGGAAGGAAGGAAGGGAGGAAGGAAGGAAGGAAGACAGACAGACAGACAGACAGACAGACAGGAAGGCAGGCCGTGCAAAGCACTCTAAGGATTTTCATAAGAATGAAATAAAGGAATGCAGGCTTCAGTGAGAGCCTGGCAAGTATAAAGTTGTCACAAATATCTGCTTGCTAATGTTGTCAGATTGCTCAATGTGTTTGGCTCCCTTTGCTGAAGGTGCCAAGCAGCTTCCTGGCCATCAAGTGGGAGCCGAAACCTACAGACCCCAGTGGGTTCCATGGAAGCATCCAAGGAAGACAGGGCTGGCCGGGCATCGATCCTCACTCTGCTCTGCCAACTCAGTACAGAAGCCTGGGGGACCATGAGGACTGTGCAGCTGTCACCTTAAATCCCACCAGGGTCACGGTGACCTATCACTGAGCTAAGGAAGGTGCTGTAAGGGCCTCCTGAGTAACAGCTGAGACCTGGTACCCAAGTCCCCAGAAAGGACTTCTGACATTGCTTAAAAAAGCCAGAAGCCTCCAAATGTTACTTAAATGCTAAAGATATACAGTCAGGTGTGATGACACATTCCTATGATATCAGTACTCTAGAAGGCTGAGGCAGGAGGATCTCTCAAAACCAAGCCCAACCTGAGGAACTTAGCAACTTATCAAAACCCTGTTCCAAAACTTAAAAGGAAGGGATAGCTTAGTGCAAAGGTCCTTCAAGCCCCAGTAAACGAGGAAAAAAGATTAAACACATAAAGAACTACTACTCTTGTGGATATAATCAATAGTCTTCTAGAATAGTATTCCCATTTGAATTTTCGTAAGATACATCTTTTCACACTGACTCTTTGCCTTCTAGACTGCAAGGTTTTAATGTCTATTTTCTTATTATTTGAAGAAAGGCCCTTTTTTCCACCTAGCTAATGTCTATTTTCTTATTATTTGAAGAAAGGCCCTTTTTTCCACCTAGCTAAGAGTATCGAGAAGGGAGAGTGCTGTGTAGGGAGTTTCCATAATGTTACTTGGGAACACTTTGCAAAACTCAAACTGCACACTTAAACTGTATATTTGGAGGAAAACAGTACTTTCATATGTGACGCTCTCAGTACATTTAAATACTACTTGGTTAAATATTACTTAAGAGAATAAAATGAAATAATTTACTCACATGATACAGACAAGAGAAAGGACAAAGGGAGATTATACGCACAGACACACACACACACACACACACACACACACACACACACACACACAGGGTTTGCAGGCCTACAACTGTGTCAACACTGAAACTCAAATTCTTTTCCGCAGGTTCTTTAGCAGAGATTATTAACATAGCAGCTCATAAACACAGAATCTAAAGAGCCCCCTCTCTCAGTAATTCTTGCTAGGCAGCTATATTTATCATCTCAGCAAATGTAATGCATTTTCACTGCTAATTTCCAGTCTTCAGAACCTGAAAGTCATTGGATGCAGGCATTCATCTTCTGTGCCTTCCCCATGTCTCATTTCCCAACTCTGATCTGTCTCTTGTCGTGAGATTGTTCAGGCTTTTAAACCCAGATGGCCTGGCCTTTGCCCATATAGAGATGGATTCTCTCTCTCTTTTCTCAGGATATGCTGATCTGGTAACAGGTAATCATCTATCACTTGGAGCTTTGCATTTGACTGCCCTGATGTATTTCCAACGGAGTTTAGCAACATGTGGTTTTTAACCAAGATTTGCCAAAAGTGACTGGCATGTAAAACACCCTTCAGCAAAGACACTGCTCTCTGAATCTATGTTTCATCCTAGAAACTCTTATTCCTGTAACTTAGTCTCCCCGAAAACTTTTAGATTTATTAACTATTAAGCTAAAATGACTTGAAACAAACTGAGTTATCTAAACATCTGACAATCCAGTGTCACTCTCGAAAAATGACACTTTCTCTCCGTTCTCTTCTAATTCAGGTTCCCGAATCAGAAAGGAAGACTGTATTGCAGAGCTGGGGTAAAGGCAAGGGAACTGGAGGCAGAAATCCAAGATTACAGCTTGTCCCTGCATTTTCCTCTGTGGCTGTCATCTCTCTCCCCTTGTCACTACCTTAACCCTGACCTTTGCACCTGAATGTTATCTGAGCCTTTCCTGCAGAGCTCAAAACACAGGACCAACACACAAAAAGTGTGGTGGTGACAGCCATTGGCAGGGACCGACACTACATGCTGTAATCTTGATGGGAACAGTGGCATCAAAGTCCATCTTAGCTTTCTTCCGCAAGGATGATGTCCAAGAGAAGAATTCTTAGCCTGAGAAACCGAAACCGCCCAACCCATGAAACTCAGAAACTCAACTAAATTCAATGCACAAACCAATGATGAAAAACAATTTTTAGCGATCTGGTTATGCGATCACGTTTAAGGGATTCACCTCATCCAAGACTGTGGGCAGTCGCATTCCCCTGCACACTCACCAGGCACACACACATTATACACGGGTTGTCTGTGATGAACGGGATCTGGAGCTCCTCCCCTTCATTTTCACATTTTGCAACAGAACCTGAAATAAAGGAGTTTTTTTAAAAATCTAAACCGTGCTAGGTGGCCTTATAATAAAATCTTCAAGTTTCACACAAGCCTTCTTAAAACACATACCCAAATTTCAGAAATGCTCAATGAGTTTTAAATCACGAAATTTACCAAAACAAATTCCCCAAATCTATTTTATGTTTTTATTTTAAAAGCGTTTCAAGAAAAAACTAGCTTTTCAAGAAAAAAACTAGATTTTCTGTTTGCAATTGCTTTAAGCACATTTGAACTATCTCGCTGGATGTTTAACAATTTAACAATTTCCTTAGGGAAGTCACCTCCACTACAAGCACATCCCCAGGCAAAAAACCCCAGATTTTCCCAGTGAGCAGAACTCAGGCGCGCGTCCCTGCACAGGCCTTTCCCAAGGCGCTGCCTCAGAGCCCGCTCTGGGGTCACCTGCTGAGAGGGAGCCCCCTCCTCTCGGGGACCCCAGACTTCTCTTCTGCACCAGGCGTCAGTGAAGTTTGTCCTCATTACTGGGGCGCAGGTCTTCGACCTCCCGAGCCGCGATCACCCATCCCGAGCCGCGCCCCGCCCGTCCCCGGCCCGCGCCTCGCATCCCCGCGGGAGCTGGCGCCTGGAAAGCGTCGCCGGCGCCGGACGCCCCGGACGCGGGGACGGAGCCGTGGGGACGCGGCCACTCCGCAGCCGCACTGGAGCGGCGCGGACGAACAGGAGGCTCCGGGAGACCAGCGGATAAGGGAACCTCAGCCCGAGAGCGGACCGCGTCCTCCCCGCCCCGCGCCGGCCGGCACCGCACAGCTCCCGCGCTGCGCCGCCTCCGCCGCCTCCGTCCCGTGTCCCGACTCGGCCTCCCTTCCGTCCCCTCCTCCGGTCCCCTCCGTGCCGTCGGTGCCCTCAGTCCCTCTCGGTGCCCTCGGCCGCCCGTACCTGTCAGCAGCGAGGAGCCCAGGCCCCCGCGCAGCCCCGCGCAGCCCAGCAGCAGCAGCAGCAGCAGCAGCCGCGCGCCCCAGCTCGCCGCGCGCCCGCGCATCTCCACCTGAGTCCCGCCGCGCCCGCCGCGAGTGGAGCCGCGCCGAGGGCGGGATGGGCGGGGCCGGAGGCCGAGGCGGCGCGGGGACCCCGGTCCCGCGGGCCGGTGGGGTCGCAGCTCGCACTGCGGCGCGCTCGGTCTCCTCCCCGCTCACCCCGGGGCTCGGCGCGGACCGAGGCGGGGACCGCGCTCCGTGGCGCCTCCTTCCCGGGCCGCGCGGGGGCGTCGGGCGCGGACCTCGTCACCCTGAGCCAGAACCGGCCCGCGCCGCCTGGGGTCGGGGCTCAGAGGCGCTGCCCGGCCGGGTCCTTCTGCGGACCCTGAAGCGCAAAGCCTGAGACCTTACAGAGCCTGCGTGGGTGCGGCCCGAGGACCCGCCCCCTGGCCGCGTGGACGCGGCTCCCGGGACTCAACCCGCGTCGGCGCCAACTAGGGCTCTGCGCCTGGGAGCCCTGGAGCCCGCACCTACGCGAGGGCCTTTCTGCCTGCTGTCCTAACTGTCCCTGAGCCTCCAGCCTGGGCTGTTGGTTCCCGATTCTCCAAGGACCGCGCTGCTAATGAGCTCAGTGGGCACTCAGGACCCAGGAAGCCCGCGGGAGCAGGGATAGCAGGGGGGGGGGGGGGGCTCTATGGCTTAGCACGCCCCGAAGTTTACTATAAACTTCAAATACAAAAGAGATGATGTGGTTGCTTTGCCCCACAAATGACACAATGGCCAGACAGCTTCTTAAAAGAAACTAGAATGTTTATCGCATTCGCTAACCATACAGAAAGCCCGCAAAGCTACAATAATCTCAAGGCACTGTTTTTCTTCCCATGTTAACGTATTAATAATACAATAAATAAATAAATAAATGCTTTTGTAGTCACAGAGAAACATAGCCCACTGAAGCCCCTAACCCCGATATCTGAAGACATCCCCTTTCAATGGGGTTTTAGGTTGCAATATTAACAGTCTTACGGAAAGAAAATTTAAAATGGAGACGCGGGAGGCCCTGCTGTCCCGGAAAGCAGGAGGTATGGACGCATTCACACTGCACACTTGCACATGCTGAAGCACGCTCTGGCATTGCTTTGACGCCTTTCCTAGTACCAGGCATGGTGGTTCCCGCAGTTTGCACGACAGGTTTTTTTATATGATGGAGTCCAGGTGTGTGTGGCTTTTCTATAATAGGTCATGCTGTGCCTTGGGGCGCACTGGAATTGTCCTTTTGGTGCAAATCCGGAAACCAACTGGAAATATTCCCTTCTGCTTGGAAGTTTGCAAATGGGAAAAAGATTCACAGAAGCCTTGGGCGAGCCTGACTCCTCTTCCTGTTTGTCACAATCCACTGCCACCTGTGATTTCCCCAGCTGCCTTCTCCACAGATGGGTCCCACTTCTGCAAGAGCAGCCTCTCCAGAGGGCTCAGCACAAGGTCTGTCCCTGGCAAATACTCTGCTGTAGCCACTCCTTCCAGAGACATCTTCAACTGCCACTTGCTCTCTATCTGTGCAGAGCTGAGCTAGTGCCAGGTCAGACAGAAAAAAAAAAAAAAAATCCGCCCTCACCGAAAGACACACAGATCCGCGGTCACATTCAGACCCAGTGGTGGTGCCCTCCAAAGTCTTAAATGGCCTTGCTGAAATCAAGAGGAAGAATGCGTGCTTGGCTCTGTTTATGACATCTTTCACGAGTAAACAGGAAATGCAGCCTAAAAAGCCAGTGTCTAACTCAGGGCCGATGCTGGACTCAGGTAGACAAAGCACTGTCTCATCTTTGGTCTCCAAAATAAAATGTGTAACTGGAGAAGCCTGAAAGGCAGAGATGCCTGTGGTCAGAGAAACTGTCCAGCTCCTCTAGAAACTGTCATGCCAAATTCTCATTGAATATCTCAGCTAAGCATGCACCTTGGTGGATCCAAAGTTATTCTCAGAGAATCGCATTGACCTAGATTCCCCAAAATAGAAATAAAGACTTGAGAAAAGACTGGGCAAAGGACCTGGGATACCGACCTCTTGGGCAGGGCGAAGGCATCCAGAAATGTCTGATGGTTACACTCACAAAAGCACCAAGGCAGGCTTGTGGACTGGATTTTAGACTTGGTAAAGATAAAGGATTACACCACCACGGCCCACCCAGTCTGGTAAGGAGGAAAGCAAGTGATTTTAAATAACACAGTGCAAGGAAGGAAGTGACTGGAAGAGGACAGAGAGCGTGCCTGTCATGGAATTCGGGGAGAGACCACGCTTCCTGGAGGAGGTGGTGCTGGCAGCTGAGCTTCCAAAGACAGAGAGCAGTCTGGGGACAGCAGGCAGAAAGGGGTTTCCAGAGCACAGGGGCGCAGTGGTGTTTCGGCCTGCTGTTGGCTGAGCCCTGCTGATGGCAGCTTGGAGAGGCTGAGGGTTGTAGACAGCATGACACAGACCAGCCCCAGAGCGCCAACAAGCAGTTTGCCATGGAAGAAGTGTCTCATTTTTCTTGGGAATATCCGAATTACATCTCTTCAGAAGGGGAGCTATTTCTGCAGGCATCTTCAGCAACCTAAACTCCTGGCCATGGTTAGCCGTGACCCTGGAGCACCTGCTTGAGAGACTTGGATTGAGGAGTGGGTCACACCTACTGAGTGTTTCAGAACCTCTTTTGCAAAGGCTCTGTGATTCGCCCTGGGATAATGCTACTTTCAATTAGTTTTCCAAAACCACTGAAAATCTCAGAGCACAGCAACGTAGTGCCGTGCCTTTCCCTTTAAGAGTGAAAAGCCTAAGTACCGAGAGGGAAACCACTGACTGAGAGCCACACGGAGCCACACGGAGCGTTGGTAGCAGTGACCACTGAAACAGTCCCTCCACTCCTGGCCATAGTGCTCTCTGTGACAGGCACTCTGCCTTCTTTGGTCATGCATCATCAGAATTATAGAGACCCTGGATATTTTAGATGTGATGCAAATTATGTCACAGCATTAGGACAACGGTGACTGGAGTATTTACTGAACTGTGCTGGAACCAGCCACCCAAATCACAACACTATAAAAAGCAGACTGCAGCTTAGCTCACAGATGAGCAGTGCGTTTATTCTTAGTCACTAAGCTGAGACATTGAGGGAAGTGCTCTCCCAGGGATTTGCTCCTAGCCTGCCAGTGTCTCCTCTTTCAGAGACAGCGGGCACCACAGAGGCTACCGGGAAGCCCTGGCAGGACAAATGACAAAAGCAATGCTTTAGTGACACAGCCTCACTAATGTGTGATCATTATTAAAGTTGAGCAAATACATTGCTGACCTGATATTTTCCCTGGATCAGTTTCCATCATCTTTTGTATCCTTCAGTTTCTTTTCATAAACTGAGAAGTTTATCACTTCTAAAGATGGGCATTTTGGTAGAGGTGACAGGACCAAGATATTAGCATGAAATTTTTTTTTAAAAAACACTCTTTTTTTTCTCTTTTGAATTAATATTCTCATAACTAATCCCATCCCTTTACCTCAATGGCTTGACACCTCCCAGCCCCTGCTGGGTCCCCTCCTCCAAGACTACAAGACCAGAAAGCTTTGCTGCTGGACATAGCACTTGTTCAATGAAACACCCATGAGCCAAACCAAGCAGGCTGGAGGGCACAGATCCTCCTGTTGTATGATTAGAACAGTCCTGCAACTAAAACAAAGATGTCTGAAACTTCCATGGGAACATCTGAAATATTTCCTGTATTGATGGGCTGGCAGGGGTGCGCTGATTAAAGTGAGTAGCTCTGATCTTGGAAATGATGGACGAGACTCCCCGCTGAACAGGCACCAGTGACCCTCGCTCACAAGGAAGGGCCTTTGGGGAGACGGTCTTGTGCCATGTGCCACCTGGAAGTTGCTGCCCAAGACAAACTCAGATAATACCAGCGGCCGCCCCCAACAGACAAGTGGACTGAACTCTACGCTTGAAACCTCGATTCGGATTATGACATGTAAGACCCTAAATTGCTCATACACTTGTATTTTATCATAGTGTAAAATTTTTTAATCTTTTAAATAAAATGGCTTTTTATGTTATTCATGTGATATACATCGGTGATTAAAAAGTAGAAACTACAAATTATCAAAGAAAACACGCAGTTTTATAAATTTCTGACAGTGCCTGGCTTTGTGAGAAGCGGTTCACAAGCCTCACCTCATTTGATTCCCTCAAGGAGCTTACCAGGGAGACACCAGCACTGGCCCAATTTTATGTCTGAAGAAAATGAAGCCAAATAGCCAAGATCACACATGAGGAAGTAGCTGAGTGAGATTCAGAAGCCAGGTCGGGTGACTCCAGAGTCCACATTCTTACTGCTCCACTCTTGGGAATGTTCTTGCCACTAATGATTCGTTGACAATCCTCTTAATCTCACACCTATGTCATCTCTATCTTTTTGCTGCTGTATCAGATGTTTCAGTGAGCATGCTTTTGATATTCATATTTATTTTCTCAAGGATGAGATTATTAATTGGCAGACCAAAGGCAGTGTACTAAAACTTTTGAATAATATTTTTTTAAATTTTTGAAGTCCTGGAGATTGAACTTAGAACCTTCTCACTAAGCTATAGCCCTGGATCTTTTTATTGTATTTTTTGACACAAATGTCTCACTAAATCATTGAATTGCCCAGGCTGGGTTTAAACTTCAACCTTCCTGCCTCAGCCTCCCATAAAGCTGGGATTACAAGTGTGTGCCATCATGCCTGGCTACTATTTTTTAAGCCTTAATTGTCTTCAATACTTTCAATGCTCAAGATATACTTGTTCAAAAATAGACCTTAATCTAATCTTCAGTTATATTAATAGATGTTTTTGATGCAGAATATGTACAATTAATTTAAGGCTTATTAGAAACAAAATGCATCTTACTAGCTTTCTAGACTTCATTGATTGTGTGGGAGAAATATTTACTTAGAAAAATCTTAAAACAAACAGCAGTGCCTTCGCCAACCATTTCCAGCTCTGTGAGCAGTCCCCTAGGGTTTATCTCAATCTCATGCCAAAGCAGCCTCCCCCAACTGGAAGTCCTTCCCTTCCCCAAGCCACGCTTCCCGGTATCCCCACTACAAAGAAAACAATCCCATTAATGAATAACTCTGGACTCTTTTACCAGCAGCAAAATAGTACATTTAAATATCCAAGATTTAATTCATCAAAGCCACTCTCCAACCCTGGCTTGATTTATAGTAGCTCCTCACCAAATGATTAGTACCCATTACAGAACAAACAAAACTGAAAATGATTTCCCTAATGGAGGAAGCACTCAGAGGGAATCTTTTGAGGCCAAAATATCTCTTCCTATTTCTGCCACATGGCATTCTAATGACTTGAGGGAATCACTTAACTCTGTGAGCCTCAGTTTCCTCATTTTATAAGAGGGTGCAATAGTATCATCTCTGCC